AAAACATACAGATAATTGCGCTTACTATGCTTAGCTATATCACATCATTTATATATATATATATATATATAATTAGATAAAAAAGAACATTCAAACATTAAGACTTTTATAAAGCTCAAATGATAAATCTGAATATTATGTTGCATTACACGGCAAAGTTAAAAAATTTCATCTAATAGCAAAAGATATTCACAAATATAAATATAAATATTAACACAAAGCTAACGGAATCTTTATAATCACCAAAATAATCTTCCACAAATGTATATACATTTGTATACATATTATATTATCATATTGTATACAAACCATAAATACTTTAAAATGAGAAATCAACTAAAATAAGACTAACCAACAATATTGTGTGTTTAAAAAAATATATGTATGTATAATTCTATATTAAGTTTATTTATTACATGTACAGATATAATATATAATTTTGAAAAGGACTATTTCTCTTTTCCTCATATCTTTTTAAGTTCTCGTCTATAATAATCTATGAATCTTTTTCTATTTGGGGTTGTAAGACTGCATAAGACCAGCTTCATTCATTATTTTTAATTGTTTCTCTGCATCGTAGGTTCTGCAAAACAACAATTTTAGAAATGTAGCTGAGTAACTTGAAAATCATATAAATATGTAACAGTTCTTATTGTATTAAAATGGAATTGGAAGAAATAACTTAACAACAGTTTATATAAAATTATAACATACTTGTAAAAGTCAGAGTATCTCTGTTTCCTTTTATCACAGACAAATACTTTGTATAACAGAGCCGCACTGACACTGACTACCATCATTCCTACAAGGTTTATTTTAATCTGCGACGCATGGAGACCACGGAGCTGTGGTTTTGCCAACGGAGTGGACATCTAAAATTCACAAAATTTTCATATAAAAATTATTATTTTATTCAGATTCATTTATTAGACAAATGTCGCTAACATTGGGATTTCAAAGCTACAATACAATTGCCAATTGACATTGAATATCTTACTATTAAATATAAATTATAGCACTTATTTAATTTTATTAGTTTTTGATATGAAGTTATAAAAAGTATGTAATTTACAATCTTTGAAGAGAGACAACAGTTGAAATATTTTCGGAGCTCTTCTCTCTCTCTCTTTCTTTTATAAAAGTGTTACAATGTACAATTTGCATTTAAATAATGTAATATTTTATATTATATTTTATCTGACGCGAAATATATATTATATAATGTTTCATGATATACTTAGCGAGTTTATTCTCTTAAGAAGATACTCTATGAATCGCAAACTAAATATAACTAAGTCAAAAAAATATCTTGCCTCGAATAATTTCGTTTATGTCTACTAAAGAACTGGATACGGTTGAGTTTAAAGAATATTTCGACCAATTTCGACAATTAGACAAATATCGACCGTTGGCCACAATACTCGTTAAAATGACGTCAAACCATGTTGGTATTATACTTCAGACTTCAGACCTGTTTCCAAAACACAATAGAGATCTCAGGTCTGTTCGTTTTGCTTGCACTCTCTAGAACTTTCTGCATTTGAAATGAGATAAACGATGTGAAACACGTGATATAGCTTGAGAGAGAGAGAGAGAGAGAAAAAAAAGAGTTAAAAGTTCACTGAGAAAAAGATAAATCTAAGGAATTTGCATTTCAACATCGGCAACATAATTTCATTGAATGCACATAATTTGATATATAGATATACCTAAAAAAAAAAAAAATCCTGACGAAATTGGATATAATCGACAAACACACAGATCTATCATTGGCGAGGGAGTTGGACAAGTCAGTTCTAATGCATCATCGAAATCAGGCATTCTATTTTCGTCGATGGTGGTTTTTTATGGCCGGAATTAGATGGTCTCTCGAGTAAAGAATTTATATCATCGAAAGGATTCAAAGCTGGACGAAATGCATAGTATGAAGAAAGATTCTTCGTTTTTTATCCGATGCAATTGTTTGGACGCGATTGATTTTTAATGGACTACATCTCTGAAGAATTGAGGTCGATGCGTAGCTCGATGCGACGTTTCGTTGCGCAGCAAGCAACAGTGACCAACACCAACATTGACCAGCGACCAGTGACAGCTGACTAATGTAACGCGACGCTTGTCCTCGCGTCATTCCGTACGCTTGTACTCACTTTGTACCCACGGCAAGACTGTGCACAACATTACGCACACAATATTGATTAATATTAATGGGGAAGAATCATCATTTTCCCGATAGGAAGAATTAATTTCTGCTGTTAAAGTGTATGTGATATTTATCGTTCGTTATCAGTGTACATCGTATTTTATGCAAATTTTCCCTCGAGCGAAGTATAATCTAAATATATCAGTATATCTGTAGGAATATGTGAATCGATATCATTGTTGTTTTATCAACGAACTTATCTCTCTCTCTCTCGGTTTCTTTTTATTTATATAAAAGATAAATGTGAACAATATGTGATGTATGTGTGTAATCGTGTTTTAACACAATTCTTTTGTCACATACAATAAATTTAAATTATTTTGTGCATAAATATTGGGTTGGAAGGAAAATAATGTCGTTGTTACTTTTTTATTTTTACTTTTTTTTTTTTGTTTCTAATAAAACATACTAAAGTCCTCTATTGAAAATACGACATTACTTCCCTTCCAACTTATTAATTTGTGCTGAAATTAAAAAAGTATAAATAATGCTGAAAAAGTTTTTTAAGATTTTTAAGATTTACTAGATCTGTAATATGCTTTTTCGTCTGAATTTTTATCAATTTTTATCTTCAAATAATTCAAATGATTCTAGAAATTATATTACAAATTTCTTGTACATTCTTTAGAAAACAATGTTATTTATTTTTAATATTGTCTATAATTTAAATGTATAATAAAAAGAACAATTAAGATAAGTGATTTGTATTTTAAAACAGTTTTCCAGAGATTGTATCAGAGCAGTTGCTCTGTATTGAGCGATCATGGAACAAGTGATCGCACTAAGTACACAAAATCCATTGTCTATATTAGTTAAATTTGGTATGATGGCTTGGAACAATAGTTGTGGAATTGAGAATTGCTCTGGTCATGGGGAATGCCACAATGGAACTTGCTTATGCGAGGTAATAATTTTATTTGCTATGTTAAATCATCCCAAGATGATATCAATTTCATTTAATTATTATTCTGTTTTAGATTCAATTTGATGGACCAGAATGTCATATTCCAAATCTAAGTTATTACGTTGCTTTTGCTACAATCTTTTTTTTATTAGCTTTTGTTTGCTTGATACAACTTGTCATGTGCATTGTTGCTGAATGGCAAAGAATGAAGGCACCATCATTTTTGAGAGCATGCAGGGTTACTACTCAAAAAGTGTTATACTTTGTAGTTTTTCTTGCATCAGTTATACGAGGTGCATATTTTACATCACCGGTATGTATAAACAAATATTATACTTTATTAGAGAAAATTTTTCTCACGTTTTAATGCATTTTTAATTTTTTTACAGACTTCCTTCAAAGAGGGATGGTCCAGAAGTTTGCTATCAGCGTATTATCCACTACTTTTGAGTGGATCATCGTTGATTGTTTGTTTTTGGGCCGAAGTATTTCATCTCAGAGACATTCGATGGGACAAACCTCAGTTTTTATCAAAATCTTTTCTGGCTTTTGTTGTCTTCAATATAATAACATATTCCCTTCTATTAGCGGAATTTATCACAGCTCAAAAATATTCACAAGAAGATCAAGTAAGCAACAGAATGAAAAATAAAATAGAGTAACTAATATGTATGCATGCATATTTGATCAAAATAAAATTATTTATAAAATTCTTTTTCGATATTTTTTAGAGTTTCTATACACATGTATTCAATGGCTGTTATGCAGTGCTCCTGTTTATTGTAGTGGTTTTATTTTTGATATATGGAGTGGAAGTCTTTTTCAAGGTATGTTTCTTTATATCATAACATTTTATATTATTGCAGCTCAAACTCTCAAGTTATTTATGATACTTTTAACTTAGGTTCGTGGTGGATTCTTAAATGAATATCGAGTCGCTTCCATTGCAACAAATAAACGTATAGCTGATGAAATAAAGATCCATGCCGAGGATCAAGTAACAGCAAAATTATTCGATCCAGTTCCATCTACATCTGCAGCAGAGCCTTTGCACATGCAACAAGTGAATACATCCCAACTACATCAATCAAGATTTGGATTACTCTCTCAAGCGTTTATGCTGTTCATAATCGTCGGTTTTCTATTCAGTGAGACTCTCAGTGAATTTTGGAAAACAAAGTAAGAAAACAAAGAGAGAAATATATATATATA